GATCAGGTTACGGAACATGCTCGTTCCGTTGTGCCTTGGGGCTCACAGGACAACGGGCCCGCGGCTCAGTGGTAGAGCGTTCAACTCCATGACCAAAGATCCCGGGTTCGAATCTCAAGTGATCCACACTTGGGGTTAGGAATGACTGGCTGATGACGGATAATAAGCCAGAAATGGCCATTCCGGTCTCCCTTGTCTTTGTCGGTATCACCTTCTCAATATATATATATTTTTGAAATCAAATACGTCATTTGGGAAAGAGAGAAATCTTTATTGAGTAAATTTTCAACGTCGGTTCCCCGTGACGCATACGACGGCAGCTCACTGCCTGAAGCACCAAATGAGTATTTAGTTTGCAGCACATTTAAAATTTTAATAGTTTTTAGCACATTTTCTGTAGTCTGAAGACGACACGGGCAACCGATGTCGAAAATTTACTCAATAAAGATTTCTCTCTTTTCTATAGAGCGTATTTGATTTTAAATCATATTTCTTGGGATGCTTGCGTACCAGTTCATATATATATATATATATATATATATATATCGGAAAACAGGTATCCCGAGAATCATAATTCGAAAGAAAACAGCTCTTTGGGAAATATTAAACAAGTTTTATTGTAAATTTTCGAACTTGGTTCCCCAAGTCGTCTTCAGACGTGAAGTAAGTGTGCAACACAGTTAACATTTAAACATGCCGAAAAATCGATTTCGCCTTGTTACTCCTGCTGGTGTGATGTTCTGATTGGCTAACGCCTTTTCTACTTTTCTTTGAGGCTGTTGTTCACCGTATCCAATTCTACGTGTCGATTGATGCACGCGCTGTCAGAATGGATGGCCTCTAAAAATTCACGGCCGTTTTTTGATGAGCAAACACCAACAATGCGAGTCCTGTCCCATGCGAATGGGTATCCTAGATATTTTGTACACCGATGCATGCGACGACAGGAGTTAAAAGAAAAAGAGAAGGAACTATATTGTTCCGATCAGGCGCCCAAACCAAAAAACTGGCGAACACTTCCATACATTAAGAATGTGTCCGAACTAGTTGAAAGACACCTGAAGAAGCACCAAATTCATGTGGCGCACAAACCGACGACTACACTTCGTAACCAGCTTGTACACCCTAAGGATAGTGTTGGCTATTAAGATAAGAAGGAAGTCGTCTATAAGATACCATGCAACACCTGCAATGCAGTTTACTGTGGTCAAACTGGGAAATCGGCCTCTACGCGAATACACGAACATCAGTTGGCCGTAAGAGGGAGCGACTACTTGTCCCAAGTTGCCATGCATACGTTGGAAACGGGCCACAAATTCGCATGGGACAGGACTCGCACTGTTGGTGTTTGCTCATAAAAAAGGGCCGTGAATTTTTAGAGGCCATCCATTCTGACAGCGCGTGCATCAATCGACACGTAGAATTGGATACGGTGTACAACAGCCTCAAAGAAAAGTGGAAAAGGCGTTAGCCAATCAGAACATCACACCAGCAGGAGTAACAAGGCTAAATCGATTTTTCGGCATGTTTAAATGTAAACTGTGCTGCACACTTACTTCACGTCTGAAGACGACTTGGGGAACCAAGTTCGAAAATTTACAATAAAACTTGTTTAATATTTCCCAAAGAGCTGTTTTCTTTCGAAATATATATATATTTAAATCCAACGGCTACTCATAGTCCCTTATACTCAACAGTCTCAAAAGACATCATTTGGAACAGTCGATTGGAGAAAAGCCGAAGTTTTGGTTATGAGTACCCAAAGTTAATAACATATGAGAGCGGCTGCAAAAATCCTGAAGCCTTTTGAGATTATCGAGGCTCATAAACTAGGATGCACCATCAGACAGCAAATCATAAAACCAAAAGACCCGCTACCAACAGCAAAACAGTTAGTTGTGTCTACAGAATACCATGCCTTAATTGCGATGGGAGAAATGTTTATGAAACGGGCAAACGCCTCGGTACAAGAGTGCACGAACACCAACTTACGATCAGCCGCAAGGGCAAGCTATCTTTGGTCTATGGCCGCGAAAAAGAGCTGAACTGCAATTCCGTTTTTGAGAAGGCAAGGGTAATCGGCCAAGTCGACGATAAGGTGACCAGACTAGTGCTCGATATTTAATCCTAAACTGGCACACTCAATCCAACTATCGATCTACATCTCTCCTACCAGGCACAGTTTGCAAGGCTCGGGTCAATCCGGACAGGGCCAGAATGACGAGCAAGTACGCGGGACCGAGAGTCAACGTTCGCAAAATGAGCTGAGTTGGAGGCCAGAGGTCATGTGACCATAGCCGAACAATTTCTCTCCCATACGCCCACGAAACTCAGTGCTGCTAACATGAACAGCAACGACCGATAAGCCGACCGGCTGACGTGGGAGAGGCACGCTGATTTGACTACAATTACGCCGATCCCAGAGGGAATAAAGCCACGCATGCCTTTTAGCGATCAGCCCGGGGAGGTCTATGCCATTCAGCGGCAAATAGGCAGGTCAAAGTTCGCGCATCGAGGACGGCAAGCGGCGAGGCTGAATAACTAAAAACCGGCAGGCGCAACAAGCACACTATTCTGGTGATATAAAAGAGGGAGTTTCCAAAACGTTAGTTCAGATATCGTCCATGCATTTGCCCTCTCTTCGTCTTCGTCTTCTTCGGGAGATGATGGACACGATACAATATCTGGGCCTCCAATCTGTACGCATGTCGATATATCATGCTCCTCTGCGCGGCTGCTGGTGGGGCTCGAGAGAGAAAGCCCGTAAGACACAAGAAAATTAGTGCAGGAACTTGGAGTAAATCCATCAGAACAGAACTGTTTAGAAACAAGTATATGTAAAATAGGCACGCGACCCTCACTTGTTGTGGTTAAGATCTTGCCCAATCCTACTTTGTTCTCCCGCCAGTTGGACTGATGAAGACAACGAACGTTGTGCTAGAGGAGACATACCACGCATTAAACATAGAAATCGTACTAAATTTGTAACACGCCAGAAGCAGACAACAAAATCATAAGTTGAAGCATTTTTCCCGGGTACGAAATGAAAAGAAGCATGTACAGCTGAATTTATTGGGGCCTCCCTCCGTATGTAAGCTGCTTCCAAATGACGCAAGGTTTGATTTGTATGCGCTCGGAGAAATGCTCAAAAGATGCTTTACGGTCGACGTTGCTCGTACAACGCAGCAGAGCTTATCTTCATCAGTTCCCCAAAAAGCCTTCCAATTAACCGCGCAAAGGATGCCTTGTCAATGCACGCTACCCCAAATTGTGCGTATGAATTTACATGCACTTTCGGATGCAAGTACATTGGGCGGACGCGAAGGCAATTGGCAACCAGGGCCGCTGAGCACTTGCCTAATTTGCTTTTCAAACAGGAAAACAAAACCCCCGTTCGTCTATAACAAAACACCTGTTAGACAGCGGTCTTGCCGTCGACCGTAAAGCATTTTTAAGTACCTTTTTGAGCGCATACAACTCGAACCTTGCGTTATTTGGAAGCAGTTTACATATGGAGGTAGAAACCAGACCCGTGCAAGCAGTTAGATCATGTGATCAATCTGCAATTGCCCTGGTAATCGTACGCCTCAAAATGCTCTTGACAGTGATTTTTTGTTAACATTTCGTCTCCCTCTTTCCTATTTGATGCTTTTGTGGACGTCTTATCCTGATTATTCATTGTCTTTAACCTTGACCTTGTTCTTATGCACTACCATTCTGTACAAATTCATCTTGCTGTGCGCTTCCATTCGTTACCTTTGTTATGCAGAGACGGGCTGCAGTTGACAAGTCGTCACGAAATTTATTGGCCCCAATAAATTCTGCTGTGCATGCTTGTTTTCAACTGATTCATAGACAAGTCGGTGTCCCATGCCGATCTGCCAAGTTAATATATGGCAGACGGACGATATGCAGTGTCCTCTGGCACAATTCCCATTTCTTGGACGTCGTTTTACTTTGTAAAACTGACAGATGACTTTTCACAACAGTTTATACCAATGTGGCATATTCAGAGATAATCATGCATTTTGAGAATATTGGAAGATGGATATCCTAAGAGGATTAATTAGAAAGTAATAAGTCCTTCTAAGAAACAAAAAAGCTTATTCTGTAACTTCACGACACTGGTTTTCCCGATCAACTTCAGACGTTAGCAAATATGCAAAGCAGTTAAGATTTTTAAAATGGATAAAAAATCGATACCGGCCTTTAATTCCTGTCAATAAGTGATGGCCTTGGTAAACGTCTCATGTTGATTGCCTGTGGCCTCTTCAATCTTCCGCTGAGACTATTGTAGACGACGTCTAGATCAATGTGCAGGTTAATGCTGGGGTTATCGGAGCGTATGGCCTTTAAAACTTCACGACCTTTTTTTGATCGACAGACAAAACCATGCGCGTTTTGTCCTGAGCAACGTTATGGTCAGTTTTCAGTGTGTGCATGGTCGCCTCATCGCGACCAGCTGATGTTCATGTATACGTGTAGAGGCCGATTATCCACTCTCAAAATTGGAGTTCAGTTGGTGGTTTTCTTAATCAACCTGAAACCTACTACGCTAGTTTGGAGAAGCTCTCGAGCAGAAGTGAAATAACTTTACAAATTATCATTGCAAAACCTTTGCCTTCATGACTTTGTACGTCAATGCATGAGACGCCAACAATTGCGGGCGTGATTAAATTTAGACTGTTTTTTTCACATTTGCTACATGTCTGACGATGACCTGGGAAAAGTTACGAAATATGGTTTGTCTGATTTTCCAAAGAACTCATTATTAATCGAATTATGTTACTTAGGACGCCCAATTTCCAGTACAATTTTTAGAATCAATGGCTAAGGCTGCGTGTGGAAATTCTTCGCGTTGAATAACTGATGTAGTTTGTATTCCGAAATGATATAATGAAAAAGAGAAGGCTTTTTGAAAAATCGAGTTAAACTCGTGAGTTTCTAACTTGGTAGCATCAACCCGTCGTCAGACAAAATGAAAAAAGGATAAAGAGAGATCAGCCGACTAGATCAGTTGGCGCGACGAGACAGACAGCGACAGACACACAGCTCGTGCGTGAGGGATGGGCACTGACGTATGGTATATTGTGAAGCAGGGAGAGGGAGGGAGAATCGTTTGGGCTCCCCTGCTGTAGGATGATGATGATGAGGAGGAGGAGGAGGAGGAGGAGGAGGAGTAGGAGGGGGGAGAAATGATGATCAGTTGGATTGGGGATGACTGACCATTGATGCGGGATGAGGTAAGGAGTCAGTGCGCCGGCGATGGAGGCGTTAAGAGTTTCGGTTGTGGTTGGTCGTGTCGCGTCGCGTCGACGGATGGGTGGCGAGGCAATGGCTGAGTAGGGCTCGGCAGTTTTTAAGGCGTAGGAACAAGTCAGCGAGCGTGTACGTAAACCCTTGAAGTGAACGTCTAGATCGACGTGGCGATTTGGGCTGGTCGTGCCAGAATGCCAAGCCTCGAGGAATGATCGCGTCTGTCTTGTGTTAGCCATTAAGATCACTTCAGTACTGTCCCAAGTAAAGCGGTGGTCGTGCTCAAGGGCGTGCGCAATCATGCGGGTCAGAAGGTCACGTTGGCAAGGAACTAGCTTGTGCTAGTTAATGCGGTTCCCAGGACGTCGGCCTCTATGGCAAGCATAAACACAAGGACCGTTAGCGCACGGAATGCGGCAAATGAAATGTGTTGCTTGTTTTTTTGCGCACCGTGTCTATTACTCGGCATAATGTTGCGCGTAAAGAGGATACGGTCTTGTGGATGATGGGAATGCTAAAGTTTTTTAATTGTCGGGAGATTGTTTCACAAACTTCTCGAATGTACGGCAGTGAATAGAAGTTCCGCTGCACCTTAGCTTGGTGATGGTCTCTGGAATCTGAGACAATTTTCCACTCACCGGGGGGACAACTAACCAAATAAACCTTCTCATTCACCTACGAGCGTTTTGCTTTAAGCATTAATCAAGGCTTATTGTTCTTTTCAAAGGTAAAGAGTAGGTAAGCCTACCATTGGAACATTTACATGGGCAAGAAGCAATAAACTATTACATTCTAACAGTAAAAGATACATTTAAAAATAGACAAAAAATGAGGGGTTTATGATTATGTAAATCACAGGTGTGCTCATTAGTGATGTATGTTGATTAAAGATTATGAGCGATAAGTCCAAAACTAATTAGCAAATATTTTGGCTATTAAAAAGTTATTCGACAAACACATGTTTTACGCAACTCATAATCATGTCAATACATTTACGTGAGTAATAACCTTGTTAATTTTGAACAGAATATAAATTTGTCTCAGGGGCAGGTTTACTCAGTCTCCATGTCCCCACGCCGTCAGCACGACGGAATACGCGTGTTGACGGTGGACTTTGCGTGGAAGGCGAAAATGAAGGGAGCTAAGATTGTGTACGCTGTCTGTATATAAAAGACGTGGAGTACGGGCGACTGTTCTCAGGGCGTCGGGACGGCATGGGATCCTTACCTGGAGTCGGTCAGGGAAAATAGACGGCCTGTGTCAACGTCTTTTGACAGCAGAGCTCTGCGTTAGCTAGTCGAATAGCCACTACTTCGGATGTGGCTAGCGCCCGTTTGTGCTGGACTTTAGATTAGTGTGTTGGCGCCCATTAGATAACGTTAAAGCCTTCTTTAGCGTCGACTAGGTGGTTCGTATCGAGTAGATGTACAAAAACTGAACGATTTTGTCCTTCCACCTAGCCAAACAGGCATATGCTCACGTACCCTCTTTTCCAGACGCCTCGTTGTACGGCCAGTATGTTAAATCAAAAAAGTGTCAGAAGCCTACAAGCTCGCAACATGATGCGAAAATGAGGAATAAGGTTTCATTTATGGACAAGTCATCAGGTGCGGGCAATAAGAACATGCAAAACATTACCCCCGCAAAAATATTATCGCGAGGGATACTTGTTGTCTCGAGTCCACAACGATTGTCGGACACAATCATCTCCGTCTACTTGGCGGCCTTTTCCTCAATCTTTGGCATTAGTGCAGGCAGGTAGGTTTCCCAAGATGTACCTGATCAGCGAAGAACGACGAAAAGTCTCCTCCGTGGGAATAAGAAGGGCGTAAAATCCATCACCAAGCCTGCTGAGTGTACCTATTTTGTTGCCTTTAGCTGGGACGCGACTTTTTTGAAGGTCTGGTTTAAAAATGTTTAATTTAATCTCCCAACTTGCGCCTCCTGGCTTGGCGTCTAAAGCAGCTGGGCGAGGTGACGGAAGAGGATTAAATTGTCTGCTTTGAAAGGGCTGTGTTTGTGGAGGTCGCCTGCCACACTGCGAAAGCGCACCCTGATGTTTACAAGTTCGACAAGTTAAATATGTCCTATTGCGGGACGCTTGCGAATTGCGCCGTCAGTGGATTGCAAAACCAACATCTTTTGCGGTTTATTGATGCACAGTAGGTGGCCTTACTGATGAAATGTCAACCGAAATTCCAAAGTGCGTTCTCGTTTCGAAAAGATTAAATAAGTAGGGTTGTAAAACTGATCATCGTGAGGCATAAATCTGTGATTTTTCAATTACCTCAAGAGGCCGGTTTTCGAAAAAAACTTCATTCCGGCTGAAGTAAAAACTATATCCTATATAAAAGACCGCTTAAGTATCGTGCATTTTTCTCAGTGATTTTTGTTGTCCTTAAACCTTCAAGTATATTTCATGCAAAATATGCATAAAAATCTTCATTTTTCGATCATTCGATAAAACACTATGTCTTCGTATAATTTTGTACTCAGAGGTAGGGATACTTCGGTTTTCAAAACTTTTCCAATTCCCGAATTATTTTGAACCCAACCTGCCATTACACTTGCATTCAGTGTTTCAAACTACAAGTCGTGTATTTTTCGCGTTCGGATAACCATACATGTCTTTACGATATCAGAAGGAAACCATATGGGGTTCATAAAATTTAGTAGCGGATTTGTGCCATATTGTTAACTTTACAAGCCACGTCGGTTATTGCAGAGGCATCACGTTTTATGAGCGGCCATTTCACGATATTAAAAAAATCTCACAATTCGGGTCTTTTAAAACAGAGTTATTGCGTTCTGTCGAGTATAAGATTGAACGAACACTCAAATGAGCGAAATACCAAATATTTTTATACATGTTTTTCATGATATATGGTAATAGTTCTAAGTGAATGGAAAATCACCGTGATAAATGCACGCTAATTAACTGGTCCTTTTTACAGAGTATAGTTTATGCATGCAGCCGAAATGAAATTCGTTCAAAAGCCGGCATCGTGAGCTTACTGAATTATTATAGAGTCATGCCACACGATGATCAGTTTTACTACCCTACTTAATATTTTTAAGACGAAAACACATTTTGTAATTTCGATTGACATTTTGTGAGTTAGCCCACCTATTGTATTTACGTCGGACGCCTACGTCACTGTCATCATGTCGGATCTCTAGATTGCTTCCTCGACGACGGTTCTCAACATCCATAATGCACAAAAGCACTTCAAGAAATTGACAAAACTGTAGCAATCACAGTCGACTATCTTGGGTCATTAATTTTTCTCTCCGTAATTGCCATTAACTGTCAACTATCCGCTGCGACTGCTTACTGCTTACCCCCCCCCCCTTTTCTGACTCTGTGCCCCTCTTATTTTCTGTCGCTGCGGATCGGGCATTTATTCGGACAGAGATGTACGCAGTGAGTAACTTCGATTCGACGAATTGTTTATGACCCAGCTGCTAGACACTCTATGTTTCTGTTCGCGGATGGTAGCCAGTATAACGATTGGTCTAATGCAGGCAGGAAAAGCTCAAAGCAGTTTTGTATCGCCTGCACGGTCCAGATTCTGTGTCAGTCTACCTGCATTCTCTGTCCTGGTATCCCTCCTCGTCTATCGTGACTTTGCCTATTTCGGCCACTCGCAAAAGTTCCCATGCCAGTATTTAGAGAAGTAGTTGGCGAGCAAAAGTTTGCTTTCGATAAATTTTCGCCAGTATATTCTTACGAGAACGGGGCCATATCAGACATTTCAGGGATTAGACAAATCGATTAGAGTTCGTTTTAAAACCCGCGCGGGTTGTGGGAATATGGGGGTAATAACAGTGTATGCCAGAGACGGAGTGAAAGAGGAAGGGTATGGAGAATGGCATATATCTAGACGACCTATAATCATGGCGAGCAAGAATCCTGAACGAGGTTCGTCTGCGCGAACAAGACCGGCTTTCATAACCTGATAGCAGCCGCTTCTGCTGTTGCTACTAGACGCTGCACCAGTAGCTTAGAATAGCTCGATGGGACCCTATAAATCAGGCGAAATACTTTGTTAGGATCCACCCGATGTCCGCAATTAACACGTATGAGAACGATTATTTATATGCTTCTAGCTTCTCCTATCCCCAGCCCAGTCGGTAGGTGCTCACTTGTTCTTAAGGATAGGCGCCGACTCGTGCGTTAAGGCCAAGTGAAGGAGTAGGTGTACACTGAGGTGATCTGAGATGGCAACTCATTCTAGCGTTCTCCGTGTTCAACAAGGTTAGTAGAGGACAGTATTCGAACCCTACCCCAGAAAAGGGACTTTGAGAAACAAAGGTTTCCTTTCGGCAATATGTCTAATGGATTTTTCCAGTTGTTTTGCAATATTCTTTGTAATAAACCGCAGGAAATCCGTTTTCGCGAAGCAAGCCCTGGATTTTTTATGCTCTCTCTCGCTGCTATTTGTTAGAAAAATTGCATCTCTTTGTGCCAAACAATGGACTATCTTTCATTTTACCTGGAGGGACACAAAAATGTTATGGTTTCCAAAACCCTTCCTTGACCACGCTCCGTATAACTGTACTGGCCTGACGCAGATTTATCTAAAGCAAACATACGCCCGCCACCTAGTATTCTGAACCCGGCCATTTAGTTGGTTGCCATGACCTCTGCAACCATACAACTATCGTTTTCTTTTGGGAGTAGGTGGATCTGTGTGCTCACATCACTGATTGGCTTGTCTGTGTTTGAACTTAGCACACGTGCTATGAGTATGGTAAATCACCTAAAATTTCAAACCTGAACATATTTGTTCTAATGATAGATCAATCCGATCCACCTAACAAATTTGCATTTGAGAAATAGCCTCTAAGTTTCCTCCCACTGTCGGGCGTTTTGCGGGATATATAAACTCAATGGCACAATCGTTTAAAGGTTTTGCAGATACAAACACAGTAGTGCTTTGCTCATTAAAAAGCATGCTTGTTTCACTTTTTGGTTAGTGGAGGCCCAACCAGCCAACATAACTGCAATCCACCTAAAGACGAGTTCGAGCTATTTTTCCCAGGGAAAACCGTCTTTAGTCAAAGGTAAAACGAAGGCAGACTCGTCAAACAAGAGGACACAATTGATGAGTTCAGTTGGAAGTTGCTTAAAAACGCTATTCCACAGACCTTCCAACAGTAAAAGTACACATTAGTTTTACGCCCATTGAACAAAAATATTTTAGCGTTTCTGCCCGTTTTTATGTGCATCCAAATTCACGGTTGCTCTTATAAAACACGTTACGTTGGTCAGACTAAAAAGCACCTGTACCAAATGGCC